ACGTGGGATGTGCAGCAACAGGGCCGAACCAGAGGGTACGCTGAATGCAACCGCGGAGTGCGGGACGGCGAATATTATTTTTTCCGGGTGTGCCCATCCCACCGTCTCGATTCCACATGAAATTGATCTCGATCGCGATCGGTCGCGCTTGGGCGGCACGGGACAGCCTTGAGGTGGGCAACAAGCTGGGAGAAAAATGATGGTACACGGCACACGTTTTCATGCTATCTCACGGAGCCCCCGTCGGTATCGATTGGCCCCCCAAATGCTCTCCCTTGCAACAAACACAACAAGGATCCAACACAACTCGCAAGGTGCATTCTTGTTATTGCGGTGAGCCATCATCAGCCAGGAGGTGTGCCGCAGCAAAACCCGCGGTTGGTTTCTCCAGAGGCCGGCGTTCAACGACACCAGACCGCCTAACGGGGCGGGTGCGGCACGATGTAGGCCAACACGGATTGGAAGTCCGGTCGATCCCTGCCAACCGAAATCCTCAAGATTGGATGACGCTACTGTATGCAAGCTATTTGGAGGAGCCTTGAACCGACACACGATTCGGGGTGGCTACTCCCTCCCTCCGGGCTTCGCAATGATCTACAGCAACCCCCCGATGTGTGTTAAATCTTAGTCGTGCATGCCGTAGTCGTTAGGGCATTGACCTCACATGCCCACAAAGCCGGGGCGGAGCACGCCGGGTTCTCACCGGACCAGGCTCTCACATCACCGAGCACGAAGCGCCGTGAGATATTCGGCGAGTAGCATGGAGGGTGCGCTGTGCTAGGGGNGGGGGGGGGGGGGGGGGGGGGGGGAGCGATAGCAGCATCACTGGCTCAGCCACAGCATCCAGTCTTCATCACGGAGACCGACCACACTTGCCCCACCGACCTTTGCTCATTCTCCCAATAGCAACCAAGCAGAAGAAGACGAACCGTCGGCAACACCGTGCCTACAAAACCGTACGGGCCGCGAGATACCGGCGTCAACAGTCTCTCCCCGATGACATATCCGGCGTCCGACTAACCCTAGCGAAACACTCCAGCACAGCAGTACAACAGTATTAGGACTTGGTTGACGCAGCGTGTCGCGTAATAGTGCGGCCAAGGCCCCCCAAAACCAGTCAACCACGGTCGGACATCTTGACGAAAAGACAGGCGGTCGTCATCATCGTTGGCTTGCGAACGAAAAAAAAGGAACAAAAGTTGACTTCAGTTCGCCAGGAAAAAGAGTAGTTAATCGTAGGGCTAGTGGTTAGTGGTTCCGGTTGACGATCTTGTGGGCTAGCTGCACGAGCGCGTTCTGTGCGGGGGAGTCGTGCAGCGTCAAGATCGCGGACATGGCCTTCTCTGCCTGCACGACAGCCACCTCCTTCGCACGCGCGATGCCGTCCGACCTGTGCACCAGCTCCAACGCCTCGTCCACATCCCCTGCTCCGCACGCGCGACACAAGCGCAGGAAAGACGGGGTTTGACTGAGTGAGCGATGGGCCGGCAACGCACACAGAATATGCAACAATAGTGACGACGGGGATCGGGGGTCGACAATGTTAAAAGCAAACGAAATATGACACGGTGACGCCTAGAACTGCCTACCAGTAGAGCAAAACGACTGCCGCATCCTTAAATCCACCACTGCAGAACCCCGGCTATCGTGTGGTTGAGATGTGCACGGTGATAGTAGTGCCTGGAAGAAGGTCAAGCGTAACCAAAGTTTCGATGCCTCCTTTCCACTACAGCAGTACCTTGCATGAGAGGGAAAAGGGATGGACAAAAAGACAACACACTTTAAAAACAAACTACTTGCAGCTAACATGTTCGGTGGATACATGTGCTCACGGCCTCATGAAAGCTTCACGATACGGTGCCCTGAAAACCTAACAATACTCGAAAAGCAGCCTGGCGCTCAAAATAAAAAAAGAAACTCACCGGGACCCCTAAACTTCCTCGAGATAAGCTTGGCCAACCCCGGCTGTTGCTCAGCAGCAAGCAGTACAGGCGCGGTCGCCAGGCCTTGCCTGCACCAGTACCAACCCATCCAAGCAGCACAATAAAATCAACAGATGGCCCACAACAGAGACGCAAATTGCTAAGTTCGGCGCGGCAAATGGACGGTGTGAAGGTGCGCGCGCGCATGGGCATGTACGGCTGAAAGGACAAGGAAAAATACCTCAAGCCGAGCCTTCCGCAATTGAGTGTTGAACGCATGTATACTCGCTGGCAAGAGGAATACAACGTGACACATGATCGCCCTGCTGGGTGATTCTGGGGCTATCTTGCTCCATGTGTACCTTCACGGCGAACTGAAGACTGCGGAGCAGAGGGAGGTCGAGTACGTGCGAGAACACCAGAGCGAGACACACCGGTGTCCCGGGCACGTTTACCGACCGCTTGACGGAATCATCGAGATAGCCCGACCACTATACAGGAAAATGAAAATACCATAGGAATGTTTGGTACCCGTGGCTCGATATTCCCAACCACACGGCGTAAATCGAAGGCAAGGAACACCACGGCCCACCAGTCCACGGCGGCTACCATCATCGTCAACAACGACAACTAATCGACAAATAAGCTCTTTCCCAGCAAGTATTCCCGCATGGCTAGACAGGACAACATATGGCACGCACTTTCTGAACGACTGGACCACGTCATCTCGCACCACATGTCGCCCACTGTGTCGATCTCTTTCTCTGCCTGTCTGTCTACCTATCTGCTCGTCTCTCCTGCTGTTCTGTCTGCCTGCCTGCCTGCCTGCCTGCCTGTCTGTCTCTGTCTCTGTCACTTTGTCGTTCTGTCGGTCTCTTCTCTGTCTTTGTCTCTCTCTCACGCCCTCTGTCTGTCTTGTCTGTCTGTCGCTCCCATGCCCTCACCGCAAGTCATTGAGCGCCGGCTTCCCCAGCGTGAAGGCGTTCCCCTCGAAATCCAAAATATCGTCCACGAGCTGAAACGCCAATCCCACCCGCTTCCCATACTCGAACGCCACCTCTTGCACCTGCAAAAACCGTCGCACAAAAATCGTATGAACAGGGTCCTGGAGCCTTGAGGACAGAAAGTTGGGGTAGCCCACTTGGAGATACAGTAGGACCCTGATTGCACCGCCAAAACGGGTGTCATGTCCGCCGGCTCGCGAACTTACGATTGGTGGTAAATTTTTTGTTGTGCACAGCAAAAACCTATTTGCAAGATCGCTCAGGTTCGCCACCGTTTGGAGAAGGTCGTAAATTCCACCTGGAACTGACTGCCTTCGGTGGTTAAGCAGTGAGTAGGAAGAGCGAGCCAACACATAACACAAGCAACAGCCACAATGGATAGGTAGAGAGAGCTAACACATCACACAAGCGACAACAACAACAAACTGGATAGGAAATGAGAGCTAACGGATCACAAAAGCAACAGCAAAAATGGATAGGCAAAGAGAGCCAACAGATCACACAAGCAACGCAACGCGCATTCACGCAGCATCCCAACCTTGCTTGCAACATCGCTTGCGCGGGCATGTGTCTAGACCGTTAAAAAACTTCAGGCTTCCTGGAACCGAAGGGCCAGGGGGCCCTCTCGATGAAGGCTAGATAAACGACGAAAAGGAAGGGAGGTCAAGTGTGTGTGAAAAAAAAAAAAACACGACGCACCTCGAGGTCGTGCTGGCCGAGCACCGCAGAGGCCTTGCAGCTGTTGGCCATGAGGCTGCCCGTCTTGTAGTAGTTCTTTCTCACGTAGTACTCGAAGGCACCCCCCCCATCCTCCGTCGGTCTCATCTGCAGAACCTCTCCCTGCACACGCACCAATGCAGACAGCCATGGAAGGGATGGATTAATATATTTTTTGAGGCAGCTTGATATCGAGTTGAAAATAATATGGCGCCATCACTGCCTACGCACGCATGTAGAGAGCCATGGAGGGATGGGTTCATGGACGAGTAAATTCGATATCGAGTCGAAGTATAAAATAGCGCGATCAAAGCCTACCGTTCGCACACGTGTAGACAGTCATATGAAAGGATTATTCATGAAGAAGAAGATTCGATAAATTGAGTTGAAAGAAAAAAGAGCGCAATCGATGTCTTGAAAGTGTGCGTTGTGTTGGCGGCTGGCAGGCCCTTAACTCGCCCGAATGCCGGGCATGGGTACAGCAGCGGGACCACATGCTGCGTCACCAGGACACTAGTGTGCCCGATTGCTCTTGTTGTCGTTGTGCTCACGTCCACGACCGTTCCAGTCTCGCGAAAAAAACTCGTGGTATCCGATACTTGTCCAACTAATGCTGGCACCTTCCGTGGCCACGAGGCACTACGGTACTGAAAGGGAATGTTCTGTAGGGTCTGTAAGCTTTTGTAGGGTATCAGGAATTGTCACAGAACTCACAGAACATACCCTTGCAGTATTGTACCCAAAGAAGGTACCTGGTACAAACGATGAGGGTACGTTCGGGGTTGGTGGTCGCTCAACACTCGCCACGGCCAGCAAGCCGCGTACACACAGCAGCAGTTTAGGCAACAAAGTCCAAACGAAGAAGCTAACCCTAACCAACACTGAACTCAACCATAACTCGTACTGCTACTGTAGACGCTTGAACACTAGCAGCATGTTCGGCCGGGGCTGACCACACATGTCGCCCGAGCGGCTGATAGACACGTCAACGAACGCAACACCGCTGTCGGAAGACTAAATCGTGTAGCATAGCGTGGGGCACACCTTAACCAGATGCTCGATGGCGGCGGACATGAGTTCCACGGACTCGAGGCTTCTCAGGCGGGCCAAGCTCATCGACGACCGAGCTAGCAGAAAGTCACCTGCAAAAAGTAAAGGAAAAAAGGTGAGGAGCACAGCAAGCACTCAGCGTGTCAATCGGTCGACGACAGCGAGGGATGGACGTTTCTGTCCTCGGGACAATCAATCCCCTCTACTCTATCGAGATGGAAGTTCCTGCCTGTTGGACAATCCCCTCTCTTGTGACACTGGCATCAATGGCGACATAGCCCCCTTCCGTGGGCAACACGGCGGAAGGGGCTATCCCAACGTGGAGATAGCCTTGCCGTAGCGGTTCCGTTAGATATCATACGCCCTTGGACCGATCGTCAAAGGTCGATTACCAAGCAGCAGCAAGAGGAGCGACGGTACTGAATGACGTTGAAACCGCCTCGTCAAGACCTTTCCGACGTAAATAACATAAAGTGTGGCATCGTCTTCGTCGTGGAGTAAACAGCTTTAAAAATCGGTACAGGTGTGCATGTGTGTGTGGTATCTTCCGAAACCTACGATAGCCCGCGGCTAAGGGCAGGCAGGGTTTCTCCGTTGAACTTTGTGCATGTAAAGAAGAGGCAGGTTTCGGAAAGAGAGTGAGAAGCAGGACGGAGCCATGAGCGGTTCCGCCCTCTCAATGGCACAGCGTTGTAGCGTGTACAAGATGCCGAGTTGCCCTCGCCAGCTGTCTCTTGAATCCCCTAGGTTCTTCGACGCGTTTCTAAGCATCGCTTCTTCCTGCACTGCGCCAACATACCTCTATGCCGCATATGGCATGCCATCGGATTCAACCAAAACGCACTACATTTGGGCCAGGCACATGTAGTGGGTCTCGAGAGCTCTCTAGTCTACCGTATCAGTCGACGCACGGTAGCTCACCCCGCCACACGGTACCACATTCGGTGGCAATACGTTTCCGGGTAAACATGAGCGCAACATACGAAAACTGCTCCCGGATCAAGATGCAGGGCGACAAACATGCTGTACAATTGTCAACGCACCCGGTCATATTATTGTCGAGTTATGCTGAAATGGCATCACAGGGCTATTATTTTCTTGTATCACCGCGGTTAACTATCCGTGAACTATCATGGAATCGACATGGGCACCAGCACTACTCAACGCGACAGTACCGGCGAAGACGGCCGTACGCACAAGCACCACTGCATTTCGCGCCCCACCGTAGGCGTACTTTCATTCTCAGGCAAAACTCTGCCAATCTGACTTGCCGGCAAGAATGGCGAGCTTGTTGCCGAAGACCTTGTTCACCGACGGCACCCCCCTCCGCGTATCCGCCTCGTCGATGACGTCATCGTGGAACAAGGATGCGGCGTGGATCATCTCCGTAATCTCCGCTAGCCTCAGCTGCAGCGGGTTCACCAGCTTCCAGAGTCGCACCGAACCGTGAAAATTTGAGTTCGTTTTTTCGAAGCAAGGCACAGAGGCGCGCGTGGGAGAGAAGGGCGAGGAAACATCACCAGCTTTCGGGGGGTTAGCACCGTAGCACCAATCGTCATCACCACAGTCACCACAAGCGAGGACATTTATTATGGGGGAGCATTTACCGGTGCAGTGTACAGCATTACCGGTACAGAATACAGTAGGGCAGCATGGTGCAAACTACCTTCCACGGGTTTACCGCACCGCAGGGCAACATGAGCATATCGAGGGTTGGGTCGGAAGCGACGGGCCAAAGGAGTCCGACGAAACTTCAACGGCAACATGGAACCAGGGCAGAGCCACACACCGAGAAACATATACGTACACAATGTGTATATATTTAGCGAGAGACGAACCTCTGTTCCCGGTTGGACATCCGGTCGAACCTGCCGCGAATTACTGTTGCACGCCTGGCTCATCAGGATAACCTATCGCCACCGTCCACAAACGTGCGACATTCAGCAGAGGAGGGGGGGGGTCGACGAACCCAATCATTAAGGTGACGGGGGAGAGATGGTTCGGTAGGCAACTTAACTTGCTTGCCAAGTTCAGTGAGCCAGAATATGTCAGATGAAGCCCAAACGACAACAAACGATGCAGGGAGCGAGAGCCACTCACTAGTCCAACGCCACAAACGACCTCTGTTTTCCACCATGTCAGGACTTGTGTCCTCGCTTGTGGCTTTCGTCGTTATATTCGACCAAGTACCAGAACGAAACCCGTTCGTGTACCGGTCGAGACGCACGGTAGACAGGGGTTCTTGGGAAGGGTTGCTAAATCAAACGGTCTTTCCATGTTCCATCGACAAGATGAAAACAAGCATGTCGGCTGCGATGGTCTTAGCAACGCAAAGAGTCGGATGGTCACCAAAACGATTTTATGCCATTTCCTCCACGACATGACGGAGGGTCACGACACCACGCAGTCAACGCCGGCCCCAATAGCGATAGCGCCAAGGATTACGGCAGCGAATTTCACCTAGCCAGCCAGTCCCTGCCGCGGCTCGGACGGGAGGGGGTGGCAGCCGCAAAAAAAAAAAGAGAGCTGGGGACGAACAGACCAGTCTCGTGCTCACCATCCGTGTGGAGCATCACAGCGCCCCCCCCCCGCATCACAACCGTGGCCCTACCCTTGCAAGACCACAATACCCGTTGAAGCTAACCGTTGCCCTCCTGACCTTGTACGACCACACGGAAGCAACACCGGTTGAAATACCCGATGCTCGACCACAACATCATCAATACCCGTTGCCACCAACAGCGGATCGACGACATAACCAATAGCTACCCTTTGTAGATACTCGCCATCGTGGGACGTATCTTCTTGCCGCCGTCTAGCTCGAAGAAGTACTTGGCCGCCGCGTTAAGCACGGCGTGCTCCGTGCCGATCAGGGACTTGATGCCGTCGCTCAGACCCGCCAGCTCTCCCGACACCAGCTCGAAAGGGTCTGGCCCGTCCGTCAGCGACTGCGAGGTCCCAGAAGGCCTGCGTTGGTTGTCAATGTAGTTGAGGGTGTTGGTTGTCGTTGCGGTGGCTTGAGGATGTTATGTCGTGTAGTTGTTGCAGTCATACGTCGCAGTGTACTGTTGTTGATGTTGATGGTGTGTAGTTGTTGCACTTGTAGTAGTGTAGTTGTTGTTGTTGGTGATGATGTTGATGGTATGTAGTTGTTGCGATTGTAGTGGTGAAAGTAGCAGTACTTGATGATGTTATTGTTGTAAGCAGCGTAAATCTTTGCCTCCAGCGGTGACCAAAAAACAAAGACAAGTGTGACAGCAATAGGTCGAGGCATTAATTCCTTACATACCTTTGTGCGAAATCGATGTCGTAGACAAAGTCTTGCACCTCTACCGTAGGAGAATCCTTGTCCTGCCAACGAAAAGAGAAAAGAAGGACGACACCGCCGGAAGCACCACCGCGGAGGGAAAACGGGTCATGAGATCGCCGTTCGAGAAAATATCAAGGCTCCTCACGGCCGTTGTAGCCACAGCACCCACGAAAAGGCAGCATACCAACAACACTAAGCACGCTTAACATCCGGGCGACTACTAGCAAAACTCAGCGTGCTGAGTGTCGGATGTTGGACTTTCCATCATACAGCAGTAGCCACCTATCGGCAAGATTTGGTCACTTGGTGCGCATGAGGCTTGTACCTTAAGATTGTGAGTCCTCGCGTCCCCGTGCGGTCATTTGTAAACATTTTCACAATTTTTTTCACCATCGGACAGGGGTGCGATGACTCCGGACCCTGAGCGGAAATCGATTCATTTGGTTCTGTCATCGCACAGGGGTGCGTTGCGATCGGAGTCATTGCACAGGGGTGCGGTGAATCGCAACCTAGGGTGGCTGAGTGCCAACGATTCCGGGGCAAATTTTAACCCTGAACCCATGCCGGCGCCGGCATGTTCCCCCCGCTGTACAAACTCGAGGGCAAGCAGCAACCGTGCCTACTAGCTAGTGACACGGCAGTGTCAAATAGTCCCATAGATGTGACCCCCCTACCGTAGCATGACTCTCCAATGGTATTCAGGCATCGTCGAAAACCACATGTATGTGGAGGCACATATGAAGGGGATGATCAACCATGGCAATTTTCATGATATTTCTACAACTCTTCACCAGGAACACGAGAAAGGAAACAGCAGCCACAAGCCAAGCCAAGACCACTACCCTCCGACATGATCGCCAAAGTGTCTGCCGTGTGTCGGGTTTGCGCACAACTCGACGGCGGGGAAATTTCGTGTTTCCACGGGCGGGATTTCTTATTTCGCCGCCTTTTAGTGCGCCGCATATGTATTTCGTGTGTGTTCGAGTGTAGCATCCACCACGTGTGTGTTTATGTGTAGAGCCTGCAACCGTAGCATAACCGAGGTATACGTACGTCCGCAAAGATCCATTCGAGTACCGCACATACCGGAGTTATCGCACACGAGAAGTATTTGCGTTTGTAGAGCGGCAGGTGAGAGCCGGTCGCGCGTAGTTTGTGCACAACGATTTTTCTTTCATGTTCCAGCAGGGGACCCCTGGGATTCTGCAATGGGAGGTGCTTGCCTTCGAAGTGTATCTGGTTGCCCTTGCCCGTCACAACTCAGCACGATGCGCGTTCAACAGCCCTTAATTTACCGCTGCAGCATTTTCCGGTACCCCAGAATGGCTCACGGCAAGACAACAATCCCAGCAATGGCGGGCACGCTTCTAGCGATCCCCTATTGTCCGGAGGGAACATGGTCGCTATTCAGGACAGGTGGCCATAGCCGGTGTAGCAGCTACTAGCCGGGGGTGCAACGGGGGTGGTACGCGAGTTTGTGGCCGCTCTTCACGAGGCGTGTCGCTAACCAGGGCATGTCGCTAAACGGGGCCCAACGCTGTATGGCGTACATGTATATATATTCGCACCCTCCTGCGCCCTACGGCCTCATTTCGCTCACCACAGGCACGGTGCCATCCAGGCCACCGTTCACGACCCTATCGATGCAGTGATTCGTGGCCGTCTCCCGCACAGCGTCCGCCAAGAACGAGCTGCTCAGGGCTCGCACGGACCCCGCCACCGACCCCTGCCCGCTTGCCCCCGCCACCCCACCCGGAGCCCTACGCGAGGTGGTGGTTGCCAAGGCTGCTGCTGCTTCTTGCACACTCCATCTATGCCTGCTCCTGATGACGCAGCTTTCCCGTCTTCGCATTGCTGCGTCGTAGTGCCCGCTGCCGTCTCCGCCATGGCTGCTGTTGCTGCTTAAGGCCGACCTATGGGTGCTGCTGCTGGCTGCGGCTCCAGGCAACAGCCCAAGGGCCGGGGAACCGGCACAGCAACAAGTGTTCGCGTGCCGCGCGAGGGTCGCGGCCGCTGCTGCTGTTGCCGAGCCTGAGATCCGCGAGCGCAAAAAACGCGCGACGGACACGGATGACAGCAGGGGGTAGAGAGAATTTTTAGCGGAAGGGCGTGGCGGCAAATGTCGTGGGTCTCCTATGCGCACGTTGGATAGATATACACTTGAACAGTGGGGTTGAGAGATGAGTAAAAACATGCATATACAGGACCTGCATCCGGAGCAAGGGAAACACGTAAGCGCCGTTGCTGCTGAATAGCAAGACCAGCTCCGTCGACCGCGTGCGACTATCAACGTCCCGGAGCGACGGCTGAACCTGCAAATATGTTGGCCAAGCTAACCCACGACGTGCTGCCGTTTCCCGTCAGCGCCGGCAGCAACAAGCTCGGAGCATGCTGGCTACAACACCCTCTGTTGGGCGGCGGTGCAGTGCGCAAAACCTCTTGTGCAGAACTCGCGTGTGTCTTCGTGGGGGTTCTCTGTGCAACCACTTGCTAACACCTAATACCGAGCTCCAGCCAATATGTACTGCGGTTCGAAAATCTAACACACCTGAACGTCTCATTCCTCGCTGTTGAGCGCCTTGCTTCGTCTTGCTGCTGTGAATCTGTCGCGCTGCGCCAATCCTTCCGCATGTCCGCTCATCTTCCGGACAACGGGGGGGGCTTCGTGAAGTATTGCACCTCTTTCACTACTGTACACGCTACTTCTCGATCATGGCTGCGAGCCCCTCTTTTGCCCGCATCGTCTGTCCAATCCCCATGCACGCACAGCTTGTTGCTTCCTCTGTCTCTCCCACCAGTGGTGTCATGGGCAACATCTGCTGATCAATCCTAGAGACGTGAAAGCTCGCAGTACAATACACCGCGTAAGATCGCCGATATCGCTCTCTCTTGATGATCAAGGTCGATGGATCCAATGCAACATCACGAACATCAATATGGGCAACAAGCGGCGCGGGCATCGTGTTGGCCACCCCCGCCATCGCAGCCAGCGGCAGGGGCTCCTTCAGAGTTGCGTCTTTTCTTCCGGAGTTCACACACAGTCACTTGGGAACAGGTGGCAGCAGCAGCAGCAGCAGCAGCAGCAGCAGCAGCAGCAGCAGCAGCAGCAGCAGCAGCCGCAGCCGCAGCATTATCAACGCCCTGCTTCCCATGCTCCGCCGCGCCATTTCGGCAATCATCATCAGCAGCCCCCATGGCAAAACCTTGGCCACCAGCCCCCGCGCCCGTACACCGCAGGGGGGGAATCGTCCGGGCCCTGCTCCTTCCTCGAGCCGAGCGTGCTTCAGCGAAGTACCTTGCACCAACACCATCACCAACAACAAGGGGAAGCCTCTGCCGAGGCAACTGTTCCCAATGCGGGGCAATTACTTGCTGGATTCCCAATGTCGGTGGATTGCCGTCCTCATGCCCACCAAGCACCGGTGCTAGCCGCAGCCAACAGAGGACCGGCGGCCTGGCAGCAGCACGGCAATGCCCGGGAAAGAGGGATGGGGGGCGGAAACCGAGTCTGGATTTCAGGTGGCGGCGGGGGCTTTGGTCCGCGATCCTGGAGTGACAGGCGCATGGAAGGTGGAGCAAGAGGAGGAGGACGAGGACATAGCGGCGAAAGGGCGACAGCAACACCAAATCCCACACTGAGGCATGCGCAACAAAGTTAGTTGCAAGTGTCTAAATGTATATCGTGTGTATGTCAAGAGCTTTGCGGCAGACTTTTGCATTTGTCGATGATGGTTGGCACCACTCCCATGCGTTCCGTCATGTTCTTGTGGCTTATCTTTTCGGTGGTGAGCGCACCGGCTCCGTTTTTGTTTCTTTTTCATCACTTTGAATCAGCGCTCACAGCATTTCTGTCTACAATAGTAGTTCGAATCCACAGTCAAATAGAAGAAATCCTCTCCCCTGCGCACCCCTCCTGCGTTGCGTCCCCTCGAATTTTAGTGCGAGGAGAGTGCATCTCGAATCCCTTTGAAGTTTGAACTGCTGTTTGTTGTGCACGTCCATAACGGCGGCGTATGGAGATAGAGTCAACTTGGGCCGAGGCTCAATTTATTCGCCGTCGCTACCGTCGAGCACAGGTTATGATATAGAGTGAGTGTCGGGTCCACCGCTGCTGGGCTTTGTGTCTCGATTCTTTCTGTCATAAATATTTGAGCCTCTATTTCTCGACGGAATCTTCCGAATTTGGCGGGACGTTCTTTGTGCGCGTAAGTTAATACCCCGAGTGACGCATCTTGACTACACGGAGGACGTGGGAACGGACGTTGGGTTCGTCACAGAGACCCCGAGCTTGGTACGATCAGTTGGAACTATCTTGACTGCATCCTGCCCGACACACCCAAAATCAGCGACAGCAACAGGTGGGCTCCGACAGCGGGAGCAAACCGTTCCGCCACGAAAAGAACCCACTACCCGCCGCAGCAACAGCAGCAGCAGCAGACTCGGAAGCAAGGAAGGCGCGCCAGACAACGACATGCAAAAGTTTTGCACGCTCAGCCCCCGCCCCCCTGTGGCCCGCCTGCCACTGCTGAGTGCATGAAGGCTCTGCGGCTGATGGCCGTGTCCGGGATGATCGGTGTGAGCACGGGCCTGGAGGGGACGTGTGTAGACCTGAGCAACGCCTGTCGGGAAGGGGCACCGTGGTTAGTCAAGACAGGGCGTTGGTCGGAGGAGATTCCCCTTCGGTTGCGGCAGTTTTGGCCTCTCGGCAGGGAAGACCGGCGTACGCTGCAGCTCGCGCCGAGCCGGCTGATACAGCGCAGGATGGTGAAAGCCCTGACGATTTTGCACAACGACCACATCGGAGAAGATTTCGCCTGGCCGATTGGGGTGGAGAAGGTGAACTTTAAATACTGTAACAAGGACCTCGGAGATGTCAAGTGGCCATCGACCATGACGGAAGTCCGACTTTCTTGGGCCTTCGCTCAAGCGGTTGAACACATTGTGTGGCCGGAAAGCCTTAAAGGACTGGATTTTGGGAACTACTTCAACTCCCCGGTGGAGGGCGTGGATTTTCCCGACGGACTGGAGCGGATACGGATGTCGCGGTGTTTCAATCAGCCAATCGCTGAAGTGAAGTGGCCGTCGCGACTGCTGGTGTCGGGGTTCGGCGCAAAGTTCAACAGGTGAGAGAGTGGCAAGCCGTGTTGTTCTGTCGACAGTTCACGTCGGTGTCAAAGGCATGCTAGGATAGTTGTGCTGGTTGGGCTCTCGATGTGTGTGCGTTCGCTTCTCCTCTTTTGGCTTGGTGCCCCCACCTGCTACTCTCGCCCTTTCGAGTTCCTATTGTATTAGAAGGGATTGATTTCAGCGAGCAAGAGGATCTCATTTCTTGCTCTGAACACAGCTGCTACTGCCTGCTTGTCGCCTTGGGGGGACACAGGCCGCTGAACGGAGTGATTTGGCCAGACACCCTGAAATACCTCGATCTCATGGGACAAGACTTCAACCAGCCTATACACGTTGCGCCCCTGCCGCGAGACTTGGCGGTGCTCATGCTTGGCGACTCCTTCGATCAACCCCTGGATACTGTAGCCTGGCCCAAAGGCTTGTTGGAGGTGTTCATAGGGCAGGGGTTCACTGGGTACGAGAGCCCTCGTTTGGCGGACGTGGTGTGGCCGTCGGGCCTTCGGCTGATGTCGGCTCCGAGGATGAATATCGGGCATTTGCCCAAGGACTGCTGCCGCGAGTTCGTTGGCGACGTCGATGGCGAAGCCCCATGGCTAGCGGATGAAACGTGGCCCCTCGAGTTTGCCGGCGGCGGTGGCGTATTCGGGATGGGTGTGTTGTTGGATACCGATAGTGACTGAAGTTGTCCCGGCTGCCTGTGAATGGTACCCGGTTTTTCAGTTTCCAACTTGGCTTGCCTTTTCATGTCGACGCTGCTGGTTGGCCGGTATTCCCACAAGCTTCAACTGTGGAGGTGCTCATAGAACTTGCACGGCCCACGATTGATTCGTCGTGGCCGACGCTCGCTGACTATGTGTTGGCACGTAATGTATTTTGATGTACAACGGCTTTTGCCTCTCTCCTTCGTGTGGTCTGAGTCTGATAAACGGGCTATTAATGTACGTATGCATAAGATATTTCTGTTGTGTCGGTTGAGTGTATAGAAGGAACGCTCTATCCCCATCGGTTGTCTTTACGCGCGGATGTCTCTCGCTGCTGATTGATCCAAGACGGAGAAGAAGGGAGCGTTTGGTTGCAAACACTAGGGCCAAAGGTGCTGCAAATCATGCCGCCCTCGTGCTGCGAATGCAATCGAAACAGCAGGTTGTATTTTAGTTGAACGGAGAGCTCGTCCTTATTTCGTTTATTCGTTGAACATGGTTACCCTGTTAGCACAGAAGTTTGTTTATTTTCAAAAAGATGGTACGGTGGCCAGAGAGAGGTTTCTGTGGGTGATTGGTGCCATAGACCAATACGGTACCTCCCGTAGATAGATGCAGCCCAGGGAGTGTCAGTGAGTGTAATGTTCGAACACAGAGCATCATTTCCCTGTACCAAATTGGTGAATTGGTTTTTACAAATTGATTGGTATGTGTGTGCAAGACCAAGCATTAGATCTTTCCATCATGGCAAATAAATATTTTGTTCTGGTTTGGGGATTTTCAGGTTTGGGGAGTATAGAGCACCTACTTGCACAGAAGAGCAGCCGCTTGTTGCTGTGAACTGCTATTGGAAGATCAACCGCAAAACACGAACACTGTTGTTTAGTGCAACGCCAATATCACGGATTGAACAGTGCGCACACTTTTCTCTCTCGAGAAACCCGACTTCGCACATGGCGGGAGTAGTTCTCAAGAAGGTTCTGTTGGTGGGGTGCTGGATCGGGATCACATTCTCCCGCGTCTTTCCTACTTGCCAATCCCGAGAGGAGGGCAGGTTGGTATGTATGTCTCCATCTTCCAACGGTTTTGTCTCTGTCGCGAACGAGGCAAGGTCAACGCACACATTCTGTAGTAGCTCATTGCAGCCCTCCATGGTGGCTAGGTTTTGTCTTGACCAGATCCGCATATTGTATGCGTAGACCCTCGACTGGTCTAGCTAGTCGCATCTTCGGAAGAACGTACCACCGAGGCGAACAAAGCACGGGCGACGGTGTAAAACTCTCTCAAACGCATGGATCAAGCGACAAGCAGGCTCTCTCCCCTAGACTGCCGGACAAAACACCGAACCATGCACGGTATGCATCCGCTTTCGATCGTACACATGAGCCACGCTGGCAGGCGTTGTTGGTGTTGGTGTTAGTATTGGTACTTGTTGCTGTTGTTTCGAGGGAAAGCCGTGCCGGTCTCCACTTTTTTCGTACATTCGTACCGATCCAACTAACGCCGACACCTGTCTTGGACACAGGTCGACAGGTCAACTACCCTCAAGAGGTACATAACACTCAGGAAAAACCACACAAAAAAGAACAACGGCCCACAAAGATCATCACATACACCACAAGCAAAGCCGAGCGCAAAAACAGAACCGAAGGGGAAAAACGAAAACCCAGCCAGCCGTTAGTCTGGTCAGATGTCACTACAGTGACATATCGGGCAAAACAAGACCTACAAACGTAACTACTTTTTGTAGACTCATAGAGCCCAAGCCCATCACTCCCGTTCGGCACAACTTTCTACACCAGGACAGTCACAAGAGATGCGCGCTCTCTACAAAATGATTCGCGACTTCTACTGCAATGCTACCTGAAAATCTTTCGATTATTACTCCACCCGTCTCTCGAGAAAAATCCACTGGCCTAGACACCCCTCTATCGGCAGCCGCATGGAGTGGATGCTCTGGTTTCTCCGAGCTGCACACGGTCATCGTGCAAGTGCCCGCCCATCGCGAGCCTTGGGAGGAATCCCTGCGCAGTTGTCAAGAAAATCGGACGCTTGACGACGAATGTCGTGCCGGACCCTTCAGGCGTTGTAGTACGTCATTCGGGCACATGCCATTATCATCGCCAACTACCGGGGGCATCTATCGGCGTGGAATGATGGGAAAACAAACCATGCCGTTCTAGGTAGCTACGGGTTTCACTTCACAATGTACACCGACATCGCAAAGAGTAGCACGTGGTCAACCAAAATACAACACCAACAAGCTGTACCACCTTGGAACACGGCCACTGTGAACAACAAGGGTAACACCACCACCAACACCATCACCTACTAAATCTAATTCTGCTAAAACATGGTACAAAACTCACGCCAAAACCCGGCAAGCAAAGAACCGACATCTCCAACCTGCCCGAAACGTAACGTAGCCAACCAGCATAAGGTCATCCCTGGAACCCTGGTTCCAAATCCTCTAAATGCGTTGTCGTTCCTCGTCCCCACCCGCATTGTCACTATCGTCCTCTCTGCCTGTCTCCTGCTCCGCACTCTCATTGCTTTCGAACTCTGAATCTAGTCACTCCAACTTGTTAAACGCCTGAAGAGCGGCTACAATCACGACGATTTCGCTCGATGGCCCCGAACGTACTTCCCAGCGAAAGGATTGGTTGTCACCCCCCCCCGTCCAGAAACTCTGGGGCTTACGCCTCCAGCCCCCAGCTGCCTGGTTCTCATCTATACATATGCCGCTTTCCTACTTGCATCCGCAGTACTTACTCCAACTGGGTGCGCTCTTGCCCTCATTTTCCGTCGAAAAGGAGCACCTGTTGTAATGGCCAACCTTCTCAAAATGTTATTACATTCGACAATTAAGTGTTCAACTTATCGAGTTCACCACAGGCGGCGCGTACTGTAATGCCCATCTTGTCGATCGAAGTACCACATTCAAAACTTTTCGCAAGCAACAGCTGTGATCGCAACACACCTCGATCATGTCCTCTGTTCATCGGAATGCTGCACGGCTTCAAAGCCAATATTGATCAGGCTAAGATTTTGGATACGATATCTCCTTAGCAATTCGAACGATGGCATCAAATACCAACAAACAAGGCAACTTACAAGAAGCACGCCACAAAATCTCAGTAGGAATACACACAACACCGTGAGGCAGACGGAGCCCACCAATCTATGCGTTCGTTCCACCGAGCGCGACAGCTTGGTCCTGATAACCTTAAGGAACAAGCAGCTGCCAAATAAATTAACAGCAACCAAATAACATCTTACCTTTCACAACAGACGGTGCAGCCCATGTCAAAACAGCGAGATGCCGTACCCGGAAACAATCGCCACGCAAACACAAGTAGCGAGGCTTACGACACCAGCAGCTGTAGCCGTCAACATCTGCATAGCATAACTACCGGCGCCCCTCGAATTCCCTCCACTGACCTCCGTGTTCGTGTCGGGTGGGCTGCTACCAGCCGGGGTTGGCGCGACTACCGCAGCCATGCTTGTAGGAGAGCCGGTCGGGGCGACGGAAAAGTCTTGACTATCATCACCATCACCATCGACGGATGACGGGTTACTCACAGGCGAGGCCGTGGGGGTCTGTACGGGATCGGCGCCGTCGCTGCTGCTGCCGCTAGTGGCGCTGGTCCCGCAGCCGCATACGAGGAAGAACTCGTCGTCTTCCACCGGCAACAGTTCACCGCTGCCATCAACGTCGCCTGCCGATTGACAACCATTAGCACGAGCACGGCCCGGAGCAGCCAGTTTTAACACGTGACGCCCTTCCGGAGCTGTTGTCTAAGCAAGCGTCTTACTGCACTACTGAGTATGAGACGTTGAATGGGGCTTTCCCAGCCGCAGATGAGGAGACAAGCATTGTTGTCCTGGGGCTCTTATCATCCCATCGGTGGCTCAGCGTCGAAAGCAAAAAGTAAGAAACAAGATGGCAGTGATAAAAATCACGCGGAGATATACACGTATGATAGCGTCGAACGTCGGACACGCCTAGCATGAGCAAGGTTCTTGATCAACCGGGTGAATGGGGAGATAGTCGATTTGCCCCGAGGGTGATGAAATCGGAAAGGATGTGACAAGAGCGCTCTCTTGGGCATTATCAGAATAAAAACACAGCGCATCAGTTCTTCCGCTTCAAGATATCTGCCCGTCACATACTATCTGCATTGAATCAGTGCGGTTGGTGTGGCGTTGTGTACGTGCACATCGGAAAAAAGGGATCCCATGAGGACCTGCTTGAACGTTTTATGAGGAACAAGTCGAGTGTTTCGGCTACGACAAGAACTGTGTCGATTTGACGCTAGTTTATATGCCAAATCGGGCTCCAACACCCGCGGAGTCGCCGCCGGGAGTTGACGAGGCCGCCAAAAAGGTATGGGCCATGTGCACCACACCGAAGGTGAAAATAAAAATTCAACCAAAATACGAGGCGAAGCGATGTATCAGCGGGTAGTGCGAGTGGTCCAAGCCCCATCCTCAACCTTGCTCTACAACTTTTTCTTTGCTCTATTTGCTTGAACGGCATGCTTCCGTTTCACAGACCCCGCTGCCGACAAACGAGTATATTCCAGTCGCCTTTGTACCGCCAAAAACAACGACGTTTCGGCTTCACTACATTGGTCCACGACATACTTGCAGTCAGCTATGCATAGCACAGGGTACATGTCTCCCCATCGCGAAACACAATCACGGTAGTCATACGCAAGTACCACGATGTCTTTGATGCTTGCACCGGTTCTTGTGCATCGCACGTGGATTTCGTGACGAAGGACCCTGGCTGCCGGAAGCCAACCTCGCTGCTGGCCGTGTGGAAGCGCACGAATCAACTTGCAATGCCAGGTCACGAGCATGAAGCACTCACATTGCCAACTCGCGGCCGCAGGGTGGATATAGGTTGACGTCGTCTCGACCGAAAGACAGTCAATTGTGACACTATCCCCCGAAAAAACCGCTAGCTCTGACACAGCCCAGAAAAACTGTCGGTCCAGTATGCAGCAGCAGCAGCAGCAGCAGCAGCAGCAGCAGCAGCAGCAGCAGCGTCAAACGACGTGGAATTGCATGAGAAGAAGGCGCTCGTAAGCAGGCATGTGGTGACCACATGTGTTACTGCGTTGCGGTGGTAACGTGTTGGCATATGGTCGAAGGGAGGGAGGTGCCACCGTCGAAAAGAGGTTTGCTCGGTGCAATCATACATGTAGCGTTTTACCCGTACCAAATGTACAGGTGTCAAATCGACAACGTTTTTCGACGCTTCTGCCTAACAGGGGTTGAGAGAGGCGCCAGACTTGTAGTGCACCGGTAGAGCATCAAAAAGGGTCACAGCGGTGCAACTCTAAATACTCATGTGTTGATTGGCCCGCCCACCCTGCTGATCGCTCCAGTGGTTCAGTTGGTATCCTGGCAAACCTCTGATGTTTGAACTAGTGGTCTACTCTCAGCGCAGTCACGTGGACGTTTTGTTTTATCATACGACAAACGCCAGAAAAATGTGAACAACGACTACAAGCATGATGTGTGGACACAAATATCGTGTTCACGGTCGACGAGGGATGTGGATGGTTCAATTTCTTGCGATACAACTGAAGGCAAGCACTGCAGAAGGTCAGAGGAGAATTACAACAGCCCTGTGTGGCTTTCCTCCTGCGATACCCCGGCTCGCAGGCTGGTGACTCCACGAAGCATGCCGAAAGTTGTTAAAAGTCCATGTCCAGCGCAAAGGGGGCATGATAGACACACAAGAGAGCGTATTCCCATGTCTCGAGATGAAACTGGCGCAGTTTCGTCGGTAAGCCAGTTTGAGCGGTAGGTGACGTGTGTTGTCCCCTCGCAAGCACTCTAATGTACATCCTGACACTAAACCCTGCCGTCCAATTTCGTTCGTGTGCCCCCAGTTGGCTGAGCCCGCTGACAAGAAAGCTTGTTCGCTGATCACAGCCGCTGAAACATTGATGTCTTCTCCTTGCCAACAAAATATAATACAAAACTCACACCACAGGTGGGTAGCGCACCGGGCAAGCGAACATTTAAGCACTAGACAACGTCTGCGGTAATTTATAGGGAAGATCACAGCAGAACCACCACCTTCTGGAGGATAACACCACCGCAGCAACACCGTCAGGGGTGGTTGGGCAAGAGCAATTGCGTGACCCCTGATCGAAAATGACCCAGTAGGAGCACACAGTTAGGACCTGTGCTCGCGCCGAGGGGGTATACGTGTCAGGGGGACTCAACCAGCAAGGTTACCGCACACAAGACGAAAAATAAACCACAGGATACTGTGCGATCGATACAATCGTTGAGGCACTCACGTTGCTCGTCCCGTCCTTCGTGATGATCTTGGGATAGATGGTTGTAGTCACGGTCGAGTCCTCGGTGGAGTACATGAACCCCTCCCCGAAAGATGTGCCGGGGACCGAGGTGTAGCAGCCCTCTGTGCTGGGGATCGACGGCGACGTAACCGTAAAACTATCCCCGTCACTGCACTGGCCACGGAGGTCGACCACGCCCCACCCCTCAGCCGCCATCACCGCCGGAGAAAAAATCCCCTCAGCGTCGTCAGCATCAGCACTGCCGTCTGCCTGAGGTCGGTTCGCCTCGAGCCGCCGTCCACGCAAATCTGCCTTGGACTCGTCTAGAGGAAAATAACCGTGCTCGAAATCCGCAGAGCGCGCCTCTGCCGTGTCAAGCAACAGCGATGTTCCTCGTGCGTCGCGACCAAGGTCTCGTCGCCGTGGTGCCGCTACCTCCAAACGGTGGTGTTTCCCTGCATCTGCTGCTTCTGCGGGGCCGGAGGCTTGCTGGAGCTGGGGAACGGATTGCCAATACAACGACGACGCCATCCCCGACGGGCCTACCTGCGTCATCCGCTGGATGGTGTTGTGCGCGTGCGAGGGGAGAGCCAGCGGCAATATTGACGCAGGACGCAAAACAATCTCTTACTCGCAAGCGGCGGCAGCTGTTACCGCTGTTTCCCCCGCCCAACCCGCAGGTGCTTGTCCACCCCCCCCGTCGGGAATCAAGTCCACTTCTACCGGTGAGCAGATAGAACTAACTTAAGGCGAAGAAAAACGACTCGTGGATTGCTTCCTACAACAACAGCGGCTTGAATGTAGAGCTCTCAAGTTGGGGTGGAGTCTAAATGACAGCTGATGCTGCACCCTCTCGAAACGCCGAGCCCATCGACAAGAGGTACTAAACGACGAACTTGTTCACACATGTAGCTGCCCGCCTTCGAGATCAGGAACCAATTACTCACAACAAAAGCAAACGTCCTAGTATGGTCTATGAATTTTGATTTTGATTGGATACTGTGCGTGCCTGATTTTGGGTTGGGGTTTGTTACCGTATCCCAAAATAGCTGCTATTGGTATCCCAGTACCACCGCAATTTCGTCGGGGTTAGGGGTATTATTAACGACAAAGAAACAAGGAACATTTCACAGAACCGTGCTTTCTTGCAAATATATGGAGGCGTTTTCCCCCGAAATCGAAGAAAGGAGCCGGGATTTTTTGGGGCTTGCTCCTTTCACAGTTCCGGGGAAAAACGCCCCGCTTTTTCCGGGCAACCGAAGCAGACACCGGTCACGCGTGCTGCCTTCATCACACCACACCTAGACAGCGCCAACAACACCCCAAAGTGCCTCCCACGGCAAGTCGACCACCATGGCTGAGCGCGGGAAGCGCCAGGATCCCAAGGACCCCGCAGCGCAACGCCGGGAGAAGCGCCGTCGACGAGCTACCGACGAGGAGAATGCAGCCCAGGAAGACAAGAGATTCACGGTTCTGGGTCTTCTAAGGGCCGTAGTAGTGGCGGCGGGCGTCGTGGCAGCAGGAGCAGCTCATCGTGCCCACTGCCCTCAGGGACGGGAGCCCATCTACGAGCCCAAGCGACTTCCGTGGGCCCAACACGAGGCGGACCTCGATAAACGGCACGGCTGGCGGCGGTCGTACCGCATGGAGAAAGAAAGGCAGCTTCCACAAGCTCGTCGAGCTACTCCGCCCTTCGCTGGAAGTCACCGCCTTCTTCGGCGGTGAGTGTTGATGTGCAGATGCAGCCGCCCACGGCACGTATGCGTAAGGCTCCCTCTGGTGTATATGTATAAGTAGAACCGGGGACGAGAAACTCAAAACCAAGGGAGAAACGATATTACAGCTGTAGAATACTGTACTGCTGTATGTTCCTGCTGTCTTTGTCAAAAGTAAGAACTCGCTCGTCGAAGTAGCAGCACCATGCAGGAACATACAGCAGTGCCGCAGCATATCTACTTATAGTACCTCAGTGCTGTTCTCATACAATGCTGCTGTACAATATGTAGATATGCTGCGGCACTGCTGTATGTTCCTGCATGGTGCTGCTACTTCGACGAGCGAGTTCTTACTTTTGACAAAGACAGCAGGAACATACAGCAGTACAGTATTCTACAGCTGTAATATCGTTTCTCCCTTGGTTTTGAGTTTCTCGTCCTCGGTTCTACTTATACATATACACCAGAGGGAGCCTTACGCATACGTGCCGAGGGCGGCTGCATCTACACATCAACACTCACCGCCGAAGAAGGCGGTGACTTCCAGCGAAGGGCGGAGTAGCTCGACGAGCTTGTGGAAGCTGCCTTTCTTTCTCCATGCGGTACGACCGCCGCCAGCCGTGCCGTTTATCGAGGTCCGCCTCGTGTTGGGCCCACGGAAGTCGCTTGGGCTCGTAGATGGGCTCCCGTCCCTGAGGGCAGTGGGCACGATGAGCTGCTCCTGCTGCCCTGACGCCCGCCTCCACTACTACGGCCCTTAGAAGACCCAGAACCGTGAATCTCTTGTCTTCCTGGGCTGCATTCTCCTCGTCGGTAGCTCGTCGACGGCGCTTCTCCCGGCGTTGCGCTGCGGGGTCCTTGGGATCCTGGCGCTTCCCGCGCTCAGCCATGGTGGTCGACTTGCCGTGGGAGGCACTTTGGGGTGTTGTTGGCGCTGTCTAGGTGTGGTGTGATGAAGGCAGCACGCGTGACCGGTGTCTGCTTCGGTTGCCCGGATAAAGCGGGGCGTTTTTCCCGGAACCGTGAAAGGAGCCAAGCCCCAAAAAATCCCGGCTTCTTTCTACGATTTCGGGGGAAAACGCCTCCATATATTTGCAAGGAAACACAGTTCCGTGAAATGTTCCGTGTTTTTTGGTCGTTAACAATACCCCTTCGGAGGTGGTGCCCCTGTTTTCGAATGTAAAATACCCGATCGGTCAGGACCGGGTACACGGCTGGTTCTTGTGTTTCCTAACCCTGCCTCTGTCGCTACATTTACGTATCCAGCCCGTGCGGGTTATGTATGCATTCGTTGACACAGGCGACTTGAAGGCGGTCCCCTTGCGCCGCAAAAAAAACAGTTCTATAGCAGTACTTCTTGCAAGCCCGTTTCCCCCTGTTGCGTGTGCTACTTCCTTAGCATCGACCCCGGTAAATCTCGCCGAGCCATGCATCTAACGGGATGAAAAACGCCATTACGTGTTCTACAACTGTCAACGAGCTCTCCCGGTCTCTCAGCAGGACGGGCGTGGGGTCGGTTTCACCACAGCAGGTGCTCGGCTTTCGGATTCGAGGCAAACACAACAATCAATGTGGCCCGCGTGTGTCTCTAGTATTAGCATCGACAGTGTCAACCGGCTGACCATTGGAAATACGTTAATCTCGGCGCGGCTGAAGACAAGAAATGCTTCTATAAAGGCCATGGTCGATCTAGACCCCGCGAGGGCCGTCTGGGAGAGGCTACAACAGCAGGGGCGCAGACAGCACAAGATGAAAAGGAATTCACGCGTTACTCCCGCCTTTGGCCCGGGTGTTTGGGTGTATGCCTACTTCATACTCCATGGGACGTCTCTGAGGGAGTGCGAGGAGAGTCGCAATTTCACATGCTTGGAAGTGCCTACGACTGTTGTCGTCGTTAGTGTTCTACATTTGTGTGAGCAATACAAGTAGTCTACCAGGTGAATGCATGCATACCTCGATTGTTCCACGTGTCGGTGCTGCAACACCAGCGAGCAGCGCAAAAAAGTCGACTTTGGAAGGCATTCGGGAGAGAGCTCTCTGGAAAGAAAAACAGCAGGCAGAAACAGCAGCGGTAGCAGCAATGGATAAGCGTGGCGAGGTCATCACGGTGAGCTCCGTTAGCTGCCCTGAGGAAGCCAGGAGGGGAGCAGGGCTCCCATCCAGCACGCCGCCATCTTCGCACACGTCGGTCACGAAGACCCACAGCACAAATAAACGCAGTGTCAAACAATACAACACACGACTGTACATGGAACAGCTACATAGTTGTCTTCACAGTAAAAACCGTTCCGATCTCTCTCTACCCAGTAAAACAAGTTGTAGCAGCTTTTCGCACTTCAGAGGCACCATGCCATCCCCCTCCCCCTCGCACGACAACAAGCACAGGTGGGATCATTACACCCACCCATCCGCGCGCGTGTGATGGTTTGGAAGTTTGGAAGGACCACGGTACTTACGGCTGCATGGTTGCAGTGCAACATGATCCGCGGACCTTGCATTAGCACACTGCTTGACGAACAAGACCAGGGAGGGATGGGGACCCCTCTTATTTCCACAGAGGGAGACACCCTGCTATCAGACAGTGCAAGAACAGCAGCCCCGCGTGCTCAGCAAACTGCGGTTGTGACGGTCTTTGCAAAGAGCGAAGAGGCCCAGAGCCATGCACAGCAAAGAGCGGCCTGTAGAGCGACCTGGTGCTGCTGTGTAGGGGGCGCTAGGCTACGGGTTGTCTACCCCAAGAGTATCGGGGTTCGTGTGAGCTGGTGCGTGTGTCTCTCTCTTCGCTATCTCTCACCTATCTCTCACCTATGGGGACAACAGCAAGGTGGCGCCGCTAGCTCGGAAGCCGGCCGACGACGTTGTTGATCTCGCGGAGGCTCTCCTCCAAAGAAGCAGTCCAAGGGCGCCGATCTACGAACAGAAAAGGGTCAGAGCGTCTGGGACAGTGGAAATGGGGTTCGCGGAGAAACTTGGCTGTTGCGGCACGATGAAAAACAAGGAGTATACTCCCTCTGTCCGAGAATATAAGCAAGGTTTGGAAATCCGGGAATATAAGCAAGGTTTGAAGAATATTGACGGAAACGTGCCATTTGGGCACGGTGGACGTCGGACAACTTTGGCAAACGATCACATATGACATTGGAGAGAGAAAAAAAAAAATCCGCTCGATGGGGGGGGGATGGTGCGTTACCATCCCCTGGTCCGGGAAAAGGCGGAATTTTGGCATACCCAGCCGAACCCCGTCTTNGCGCCGTGTTCCCTTTGCAGGCCACATGTAAATGTACCTACGCAGATGTTTTTGTGCTAAGCACCAACTGGTATCACTGATATAAATCATCAGTGTATAGGCTTAAACAAACTCGAAATAAGTCAAGTACCCAGCTGGTTTTCCTCTACTCACTGTAAAGACTTCAACACATCCCCTTCGAGTGTAGTTATACCTCGAACGGGTAGTCTTTCTGTGTGTATATTTGTTTCTCCTAATATTGACAAGTGCTTCGAGACGGCCCCATGAGGTAGCCGAAGTACCCTAGTTAAAACTGGTGTAATGACGTGCCATTGGTCTGGTCTGGTGCCACGTTCATATGCGTGATTTGTCTTCCGACATCTAACCGCACACCCTAGGTTTTAACCCATCCAATATACAGCAAATGTATCTGTTGAAATGGTAGCATACATGACTGTATGTAGATACGTACCTAAAATGACAGTTGAATAGAGAGATTGTCATAATGATGATGCATGTTTGCATGCTGTAGCCTTTCTTTCTGCACGTAACTTGTTTTTCCTAAATACTGCTGTAAAAAGCCCCCCTCGAACGACTATGATTTTCGCTCGAACAGGGAGCTTTTATGTGTTTAACGGGTAGTCTTTCTGTGTGCATATTTGTTTTTCCTAATATATGTATTTTTCTAAATTAAACCAACAACTACTGTCAACATGACATATTGCGCCGTGTTCCCTGTGCAGGCCACATGTAAATGTACCTACGCAGATGTTTTTGTGCTAAGCACCAACTGGTATCACTGATATAAATCATCAGTGTATAGGCTTAAACAAACTCGAAATAAGTCAAGTACCCAGCTGGTTTTCCTCTACTCACTGTAAAGACTTCAACACATCCCCTTCGAGTGTAGTTATACCTCGAACGGGTAGTCTTTCTGTGTGTATATTTGTTTCTCCTAATATTGACAAGTGCTTCGAGACGGCCCCATGAGGTAGCCGAAGTACCCTAGTTAAAACTGGTGTAATGACGTGCCATTGGTCTGGTCTGGTGCCACGTTCATATGCGTGATTTGTCTTCCGACATCTAACCGCACACCCTAGGTTTTAACCCATCCAATATACAGCAAATGTATCTGTTGAAATGGTAGCATACATGACTGTATGTAGATACGTACCTAAAATGACAGTTGAATAGAGAGATTGTCATAATGATGATGCATATGTACATGCTGTACCCTTTCTGCACGTTACTTGTTTTTCCTAAATACTGCTGTAAAAAGCCCCCCTCGAACGACTATGATTTTCGCTCGAACAGGGAGCTTTTATGTGTTTAACGGGTAGTCTTTCTGTGTGCATATTTGTTTTTCCTAATATATGTATTTTTCTAAATTAAACCAACAACTACTGTCAACATGACATATTGCGCCGTGTTCCCTGTGCAGGCCACATGTAAATGTACCTACGCAGATGTTTTTGTGCTAAGCACCAACTGGTATCACTGATATAAATCATCAGTGTATAGGCTTAAACAAACTCGAAATAAGTCAAGTACCCAGCTGGTTTTCCTCTACTCACTGTAAAGACTTCAACACATCCCCTTCGAGTGTAGTTATACCTCGAACGGGTAGTCTTTCTGTGTGTATATTTGTTTCTCCTAATATTGACAAGTGCTTCGAGACGGCCCCATGAGGTAGCCGAAGTACCCTAGTTAAAACTGGTGTAATGACGTGCCATTGGTCTGGTCTGGTGCCACGTTCATATGCGTGATTTGTCTTCCGACATCTAACCGCACACCCTAGGTTTTAACCCATCCAATATACAGCAAATGTATCTGTTGAAATGGTAGCATACATGACTGTATGTAGATACGTACCTAAAATGACAGTTGAATAGAGAGATTGTCATAATGATGATGCATGTGTGCATGCTGTAGCCTTTCTGCACGTATACTTGTTTTTCCTAAATACTGCTGTAAAAAGCCCCCCTCGAACGACTATGATTTTCGCTCGAACAGGGAGCTTTTATGTGTTTAACGGGTAGTCTTTCTGTGTGCATATTTGTTTTTCCTAATATATGTATTTTTCTAAATTAAACCAGCAACTACTGTCAACATGACATATTGCGCCGTGTTCCCTGTGCAGGCCACATGTAAATGTACCTACGCAGATGTTTTTGTGCTAAGCACCAACTGGTATCACTGATATAAATCATCAGTGTATAGGCTTAAACAAACTCGAAATAAGTCAAGTACCCAGCTGGTTTTCCTCTACTCACTGTAAAGACTTCAACACATCCCCTTCGAGTGTAGTTATACCTCGAACGGGTAGTCTTTCTGTGTGTATATTTGTTTCTCCTAATATTGACAAGTGCTTCGAGACGGCCCCATGAGGTAGCCGAAGTACCCTAGTTAAAACTGGTGTAATGACGTGCCATTGGTCTGGTCTGGTGCCACGTTCATATGCGTGATTTGTCTTCCGACATCTAACCGCACACCCTAGGTTTTAACCCATCCAATATACAGCAAATGTATCTGTTGAAATGGTAGCATACATGACTGTATGTAGATACGTACCTAAAATGACAGTTGAATAGAGAGATTGTCATAATGATGATGCATGTGTACATGCTGTAGCCTTTCTGCACGTATACTTGTTTTTCCTAAATACTGCTGTAAAAAGCCCCCCTCGAACGACTATGATTTTCGCTCGAACAGGGAGCTTTTATGTGTTTAACGGGTAGTCTTTCTGTGTGCATATTTGTTTTTCCTAATATATGTATTTTTCTAAATTAAACCAGCAACTACTGTCAACATGACATATTGCGCCGTGTTCCCTGTGCAGGCCACATGTAAATGTACCTACGCAGATGTTTTTGTGCTAAGCACCAACTGGTATCACTGATATAAATCATCAGTGTATAGGCTTAAACAAACTCGAAATAAGTCAAGTACCCAGCTGGTTTTCCTCTACTCACTGTAAAGACTTCAACACATCCCCTTCGAGTGTAGTTATACCTCGAACGGGTAGTCTTTCTGTGTGTATATTTGTTTCTCCTAATATATATATATATATATATATATTTTTTTTTCTCCCATCATTGGACTCTGTCGTCTGCCCCTCTGGCCCCTATCCTCCACTTCTACCAGCTAGACGACCCAACCGGGGTCACATAGGAGGGGGGGGCTGGACCCCTCCTGCGGTTCCTGCCTGAGGTATTTTTATCGCGAGACGGGTACAGCAATCCCTTCCCTCGCGACTTACGAAGTCGATTATGGTTTAGACTACTAAATAACAACGAGCTTTGCAGCGCGTCGCTTTCATCCTAGACCAGGATTTATTTAGTGAGAAAAAAACTCACTCTGCCAGGACTCGAACCCATGACCTGGCCCTTCGCAGGCTACGAGGTTACCCACTAGATCACCGGGGCGATATATGTACGCTGGTGTTTCGGTGTTTGTTTCGTGTATACTGCTGCACAACAACGGGTCAGTGGACCCCGCTTTAAGGACGCTTGCGTTGAGGAAACTCCCCGCCTAAAGGAAACTTGTATTTGCTGAGCACCGGGGGCCCGGCAGAATATATGATAATGGGGTAACACATTTTTCGTGCCGCTACCCCCCTTTTTTTGGGTCCCGACTATGGGGTACGACGATATAAATCAACATTGGAGGGCGGCTTGCACGGCGCCCCCACTAAACCCAAGTAGTTGAGCAATGCAGAAGATTGCAGAGACAGAGAGGCGTTGAAATGCGGAAGATTGCAGGGACAGAGGCGTTGAAATCTGAGTTTTGTGAGAAGCGGAAGATGAAATGTCTGTTGGCCAATCAGAGAGCAGCAGCATAGAGTCAGCATGAAGTGTCTGAAACCTGACCAGAAGAGTAGACTTGGGAGTACTTGTTGGTCTGCCCCAAGGAAGCACGAGGGAGGCTGCTGCAGCCAAGAGATATTTCGGAGGAGATATATTTCTTTGTGCTGCTCTCTTCCCGCGGGCAGGAGATCGTGCGGGTCGTGTGGCGCGGGCGTCTGGGGGCATTTACCTATCGGTTGGAACTGGAGGTTTGAATCTTGGTGGCTCTCGGTTGCATCAAATTTGGGCCATGTCATCCGAGCACAAATAGCCGGAGACGGAGGAACGCCTTGGTGTCGTCCGCAGTGCAGGACCTACTGGCGGTCAGGTCGAGTCGGCGTTGGGGACGGGAAGATGTTGGTGCTGCTGAGAGCGGTGGGTTTCCGACTCAGGGTCACGCTCGGGCCTTGGCTTCCGGCGGTGACCGCCAGCCGGAGCTCCGGTGTGCGGATGACCAAGTCCAGGTCCACGTCATGTCGCGTTTGGCCCATATGTCGGTGGGTGCTTCGGGGGGGGGGGGGCCCAGCGAGGGCACCCTGAGAATGCGGAAAAAATCGCTGGTCTGGAACAAGGCCAGACGAACATTGTGGCGCAGCTTACCGAGATCGCTGGGTTGCTGAAGAACTTCCGGCCGGAGTCGGGGCAGGATGGGAGTCGTGGGCCCGGGGGCTCGGGAGGCCTCGGTCTGGTGCCGGCGTCGTCGCCGTGGGGCGGGGGCGCGGGCGGGGGGGCGAGTGTGCCCGCGAGGTCCAACGCCAAAGAGGAGGCGAGGAGGGAGGCCACCATTTGGCAGGCCAAATATAATCAGACACTCTGGGTACTTCGGGGACAGCGGGGGCCGGAGCCCGGGCCACAGAAGGAGGACCTGCAGGGTTTGATGGGCGATATCGTTCACGTCAAGGGCGACGTCCTCGCTCAGATGCGTGCGTTTTCGTCTTTCCACGTCAAGAGCTTCCGGCCCGTAGGGGTTGCCCGCACGTCGTCTATTGCAGACAACTTCGACGTAATGTGTGAGGCGGTGATGCAGCTGTTGAAGTTTGGTCTAGATTCGTCCACGACCGCGGGTGTGCAATCGTTGCGGCGGTTGGAACCCATAGCCACAGCCATGGCGGACGCGCGCTCCAGGTTTCGGACTACTCTCGTGCGGAATAGTGATGTGTTCCCGGGCGAGTACCAGCGGGCGGCATTGCCAATGTTGCCGAACGAGGACTTCAAATTGTGGACAACGGCGATCATCACCTGGATGTACCCCTTCACGAAAATGCATTATCCGCCGGACGCGTTCGACGGACACACCTTGCCGCCGGTGCCCGAGTTCCCCAACATCAAAAACCTCTGTGAACGGGGGGTGAGTCTATTCCGGCTGGTCCTGAGTGACGGAGGATCCCTCCCCGGAACAGGAGAGTCGCGGGGCGGGAGCGGCAAGCGTAAGGCGGGCCAACTGGATCGGGGTGATTCATCGTCACGGAAGCGTGTCACAAGGGAGTGCTTCCAGTTCCGCGACTCTGGCACGTGCTCTTTCGGCGACAAATGCAGGTTTGAGCACGTGAAGCGCCGAGATTCGTCAAGCACCGGAAGTGGCAGTGGGGGGGGCGGGAGTCGCGGTGGCGGGGGGCGCTCGTCGGCTGGTGGTCAGGGGGGTGGCGTCGACCGGGGAGGAGGACAGGCTGACGGTGGCGCGGTGGTGGCGCGTCGTCGGCCTTTGTGGTGCGGGGTGGCAGCAAATAGGGGTGCGGGCTCCGCCGGGTGGCGGGACCAACTCCTGTTTCGCTTCCAGCTGAGAGGCCGCAACAGCAGCCAGGTCATAGGGAGATGGCGTCTCGGGCCTTGGCTGGCGGGGGGATCCGAAGCGAGCGCTGTGAGGGCCTGCCCGGAGTGGCTTCCGACATGGAATCAGGTACGAGGCAAAGTGTTGAGAAGGTTTCGCCGTGTGAGGTTGAAGAGTGGCGAGTGGCTGTGTCTGCGTTGGCTGAGTGTGAAGCTGCAGAACGGTACGTCCATCTTAACCATGTGGCGCATGTGGGTTCAAACTTGCTTCGACGGTGTGGGGGACGCGTGGAAAGGTTCGTCGCCGCTGTTGGCCANGTGGCTGTGTCTGCGTTGGCTGAGTGTGAAGCTGCAGAACGGTACGTCCATCTTAACCATGTAGCGCATGTGGGTTCAAACTTTCTTCGACGGTGTGGGGGACGCGTGGAAAGGTTCGTCGCCGCCGTTGGCCAGAAGTTCTTTCTGTCCCATGTCGATGTAATGCGCGTCAAGGCGCATTTTGGAGAAGTGAAAAAGTTTCCCCTAGTTGGTCAACTTCTGAGATCGTTGTCTCCGGGTGCGCCGGTTGACGTGGGCTCAGGTAGGAACCTGGACGCTGAAGTGGCGTACGGCAACCATCCTACCGCGTTACTGCACAGAGGTCGGATCACAGACAAAGTTGTATCGGACGTGATATTGGAGCGTGCGTTGATGTTCGATGTTCGGTTCTTCCGAGAAATATTAGGTGTTAAGAGTGTCGCCGTTGGGCGTCATCGACGAACCGAAGTTCAGAATTATTCACGATCTCACTTTCACCTCTGGCGTGCCCATCCGTACGAGCGCACGGACTTTGATCAAGCACCTGAATGCCTCTTGGGTCATGTGTTGAGTGACATTCTGAAGCGGGTGCTGTATTTGCGACAAGTACACGGGGTGTCGTTGGAAATTCTGATCTGCCTCATTGATGTGAAAGAAGCCTTCCGGCAAATCCCCGTGGATCCGTCTCGGGCATCGGTTTTTGGGTACACGATCGGAGATCACGCGGTTGTTGACCTACGGTGTCAATTTGGATGGCGGTCGAGCCTAGGGTTTTGGTCCTTGTTCTCGTCCGCTTTGGAACACTCACACACACGCACACAACACTTCAAGACGTGTCCGTCTCTCCCGCCGGGGCTGCGGCTGTGCAGCATGTTCAAGTGGTGTCCCCACCAGTCGAAAGTACAGCGGTGCCGTTACCTGTTGATTGCCAGCCTATTGTGGGCGACGGGGCGTTTGCTGGTTCTCGGTTTTTCGTGGGATACTACGTTGACGATGGCGTGTTGATTGAAGGGAGATTTTTCGCTGATGGTCGCCGATGTTTGCGCGCGGTGCGTTCTCTCGCTACGGATCACTTTCGTCTGTTGGGAGAGAGAGGCCCAGCAGACCCGCCATTGTTGTCGCAAGGAAAGATCACAGATTTCGCTACTCGTTTGGATGTGTTGGGTTGGACATTGGACACTCAGCAACTCACGATTACTATGACCG